GCTGCTTTACATGTCTTTTTCTAAACTTTATTTGACAACCAAGACCCCATTAGGGGAAAGGTGGCTCTTCTCTTGAGGAGCTGAACACAATTCTTCTGGGGAAAAAAACTATGTAATTTTATGGAACTCTGAAATCTAATATAAGCATTTCAAATCGCTAAATCGTTTAAGCATCTGGGGGCCTGCCTATAGACTCTATTTGAGGTGTTCTTAGCGGCCCCTAGCTTTGCATGGAGCCACCACTAATAGAGGTATCTAAACTATCAAAGTAAACAAAAAAAAAAATGTTACAGCAACCTGCTATTGTGTTGAGCTTGCTTATCGCATTACACTGTAATGTTTACAATATAGATCTACTTCAGCTTTTGTAGTTGAAAGTTAACTGAAACATTTTATGCACTAATGACCCCCATCAAATATCCATTTTCTCAGCATCTATCTTCGTTGTCACATTATCGCAAAAGCTATTCAATAATAAGCCCTTTCAGATAAGTGTTAATTGTTGAGGTTTATCTGGTAATATATTGGCTTGATTTGGGCAATCAAGGTAATAATAATATAATTGAAGCCATTTGCAGAGATTAATCAAATGCACTTAGCACATTTTGGAAAATCTGCAGATTTTTATCAGGGTTATAAATATATAATAGTGTAAACAAATCTAAAAACCCCATCAAACATTAAATTAGAACATATTGAATTTGATAATTATGGGATCAAGTATTAAGGGTTAATCTAGGTGTACAGTATGGTGACGGTCCAGAAGCATTTCCCTGGAATATGTAGGAAGTTACGATAGGCATATAAATCTTAAATAGTTTTCAATGAGTAGCTTTAGCTGACATTTACAAATTCTCCAAAAAAAAAGACAAATATTAGCTATAAGGCATTCAATGCTGAATAATTCCCTTTTGATTAAAAAGAGGATGACCCAGGTAAAAACCTACACCATGCACCCCTCAAAATTGGCCCAAATTTGTGTTCAAGAGGGTGGTTTGGGGGTGGGGGGATGGTCTTATAGGAATTACAGTATACACAATAAGTAATTCAAATGTTGGAATTTGCACCACTTCAGTACCCGTGATTGAAAGATGATTTTCTATTTACAGAAATCATGCTTAGGATACGTGGCGCTGGAGTGTGTTCTCACAGATCGCAGACAATCAAAAGTAACGATAATGAGTCGTTTACTTTAGCTGTTTGCAGATAGCACTGATGGGCCGGGGACACGGTTTATCAAAGTGTTTACATAAAAGTATATGGGTCAATATTACTGTCACAAATAACATTTTCATAATATGTTTCAATATGACCTGGATGTATTGAAAAGAATAATTATGTAAAAATTTACTAATGTTTTATTATTTTTATTATTTTGTTTTTTATTAAATTATTTTTTATTTATTGTCATTAGACCTGGTTGTATTAAAAAGAATAATTATGTAATAATTTACTAATGTTATATTTTATTTTTTTATTTTATTTTTATTAAATTGTTTTTTTTTATTTATTGTCATTTAAATATTATTACTGTTATCACTATTACTAATATTACTATTATTTTTTTTAATTAATTATATTCTTGTTGGTGTTGTTGTTGCCATCATTGTTGTTTTTTATTGTTATTATTTTTACCACGTTATTGTTTTATTGTTACCCACATCATGAGCGGACCATATTTTCCATGGTGTGGCTGAGGTAGTTTTTGATTACAACCATTTAAAGTTATTGGGATTTATTATTGTCTTTCGGATTTTTTTTATTTATTGTCATTAATATTATTACTGTTATCACTATTACTAATATTACTATTATTTTTTTTAATTAATTATATTCTTGTTGGTGTTGTTGTTGTAGTTATTCTTGGTGTTTACACCAACAAAATTCATCCATCCAACCCCTGGCTGTAGTCCAGCAGCATGGAATTATCACAGTCTATTCAGTTGGTCAGTAACCCTGGATTTAATTCTTTTGGACTTCCTAATACTAATGAAGTAATCCTAACAAATCCAAAGTCAAGGCTTTGTGTTATTACATCAGCAATCACACATAATATCATTTTAACATTTATTTGTTTATATATTATTAAAATAAAAACGAAGAAAAATCACATTTCATGGAGTTAACCATGTGCCATAAAGCTTAACACAAAAGTGGTTACATCTTCTCATTGTGGGGCCTATAATATAAAGTTGAACTTGTCAAATCCAAAATGGCATTTAACAATTATTCCACTTAGATAAAATTTGACTTACAGATTATTAATGGAAAGCACAATTTAGCGTCGTCTTCCAGGTGGAAGACCAATTGCACAGTTGAAGGTTTCGGGCGACAGATGTGGACTACTCTTTCCTACAACTTACTTCTACCCTAAGGTCCCATTATGTGATGCGCAGACCATGAAGGCACGCTGTCTAGTCCGCAGTGGCAGAGGCTGTGAGATGGACAAGTACACCGGGGTAACCCCCTACTCGTATTGAAAGATAGGTTCTTTATAGTGCACAGGAGCCAAAGGTGTACACTGGGCCTGCGGTTTATAGTCCTATATCCGAGAAGACTTTTTCCACCTCCAGAACCATTGGCGAGCGTGCCTTTCGAACCAGCACCTATATTATGTCGCACCTGCCTTAACCGCTCAGCCGTAAGACTCACATGTAAAAAATAAGGTTGACTTAGAAAAGTTTAACTTTTAGTAATATACGATATATAAATTTTTTTAAAAAGCACACAAGACAGAAAGAACACAATCTCACCTTACAATATAATACATAGCAATATAACCAAAGCACTAGAACTAGTTTAGCATCATATGAAAATACAATATGGATTTCATACATTTATTGCTTTGCCATTTGCATTTGATGGCTTACTTGATCGTGCTAAACAGGGTGGGAGTTTCCAAATTTTATCCAGAACAGGAAATCATTAAAAAGACAAAAAAAAAATCTTTCAATCAACATTTTTTAAGGGTAAAGACTCCTTGTAGAATGATAAATCACACTAATACTCGTAACTGAAACTTTATGTAATAAAACTCTGAAAACCGAAAGATGGGTTACAATAAAAAAAAAAAATAGAATGACTTACTTGATCATTGTAAATGGGTTAGGAGTTTCCGGATTTTATCCAGGGCAGGAAATCATTAAAAAGACAAAAAAAAATTTGCACACATGCAAAGTCAGTAATTTTATGGTATTAAGCAAACTTTACACTCCTTACTTAATATGCAAAAAAAAAAAAAATTCACAACAAATTATGAGATTATGACATCCCAAAACTACTGGCGCTTGACCAGTGCATACTTATATAGGCCTACACTCTGTAGCGCCCTCAGTGTCAGCGGTTTCATTAAAATCGTTACATGCTATTTCCAAAAGGTGTCTACAATTCTGATTGGTTGGTCAGATTGGGACGCCTTCACGATTGTGCTGGAGACAGCTACGCAGTGTAAATATAGTGGTGAAAACACAACTTATATTTATATTTATTAAAACTAGGTTTAAAAATAAATATTGATTTATTTATTTATTTATTTATTTATTTATTTATTACACTTCATCACTGCAAAAATACAAGAACAATTAAAAAACAAGACAAAAAGCAGTATATGCGAACCTTTATTGCAATCTCAATTTAGGATTGGATAAATTCTAATAATAAAATTATTTTCATATATATTATGTTTAATATAAAATCATTTTTGAGTCACCATCCAGGCACCTTAAAAGTGGTTAATTACTGTGGTCATTCACCAAGACTATGGCCTTAAGTGTTGTTGGTCAGTTATATAACACATGATTTAATTCTTGGATTCCATTACATTTTGCAGTTAGGGCCTAAGCTTTGATTGTGTATGTCAAGGCCTTGTCTTTTTCAGTAATCATAAATAAGATTAAGTTTTGTTGTTGTTCCCTTAAGTTACTGGCTTCTATATCCTGGAATGACAGTGTATAGGTGTCATCAGGTACATTTTTCAAGGCCTCTCATCAAAGATCAAGTCTGATTCATTCTCTAGCCGTCATTTTTGCAGGGAGGGCCTCCCTGATTTGATATTACTTGCCAAATCCCCTTCCAATTTAAAACTAAACCTAATTGCTAATTGTTGTTTATTCTTCTTGTTCTTAGCTCACATCATGTGGATGAATTAATTCTAAACTATACTTTCTATTTTTTTAATGTTTACCCTATGAAGCTGAAATAAATGAGTAAAGGGAAGTTGAAGAAAAAATGAAAATGTCACCATGCATGTGCAAAGTTCTGTCAAATAAAAAATATGAGAATCTTTTTTCTTCATTCACATTACAAATTATTATTAATTTAATTCTGTTTTAGCTTGAAGGCCAGTCATTTAATTATGCAAGTATTGCTACTAGATTGGTTGTATTGATTACATAACAAATAAATATATAAAAAAGAATATATATATATATATATATATATATATATATAAAATCATATCAAGCATAGCACAACGAAAAGTTCCTTTATATCAGTTGTATGAAAAAAGTGTTGGGCGGGATTGAACCTGCAACCTTACCCTATCAAGGTGAGTAGATTACAGAGTATGAAACTCGCTTTGAGGCTAAAAAGAGTTACCTGTACAAGTATGAAACAATCGTCCTCTCGGGTTTCCCTCAGAGCGGCAAAGAATTCCAGGGTCACAAACTCAAGACGTTTGCTGTCTCTTATACACATCTAGATGTGTATAAGAGACCTGTGCCATACACAAACATGAACAAGACTTTGTATCTCCAAAAAAAATGGCCTCATATCACCTCTTAGATTAAAACTTGAAATAGTTCAACAACAGAAATCCCCACCTCCAAAATATAGCTCTTCCTCATCAACAAGTTTCAAAACTATTATGATGTCATCGCTGATCACCTCATATCCCAGAAGCCAATAGCAGCCAGCCCATTTGTCTGTTTGCTTACTTTGAGCCAATCAGAGATGGGCAATGGACAAGGATAATGTGGAGTTGACATTGTTTATTCAATGATTTCCAGCTGGAAGCCTATAAAAGTCCTGCTGGAGCACATCAGGCCTCACTAAGTTTTTTGTGGGGACTGAGTGGACAATCCCGGCAGTATGAAAGCATTTATCCTAGCATTGTGCGTAGCTGTGGCTTGCGGTAAGTGGGAAAACTTATTCAGTAATTTATTTATTAAGTATAGGTCTTCCTCCAATTAAAGACCTCTTTTTAGGGCCAGGGTTTTTACAGCTTTCTCGAATTGGAATAATAATTTTAAAAAAAAACTTGTTAATATGGGACACTAGAAATGTGGTCTTTAATTGGAGTATGCTTAAGTAGAGGGAGAACTCTACTATTAATAAATTAATATAAGATTTTATAGACCTACTGTATAGGCATTCCAGATGGAACATTATTTTTGAAAATATAGGCTAAAGTTCTGCATAACTTCAAGCCTGTAAAGTACATTGTAGTTTACATAAAATTTCTGTATCATATCTCTTAATTATTTTTCATTGTTTATTATATAGTTTAATAATATGTTAATAATAATAATAATAGTAATAATAAAAATAATATAAATATTTCTTTATACTATATATATATTCAATTTTTATTATTATTTTATATGACTTGCAGTAAAATGTTTACATTTGTAGAAGTAATTAAATAAGAAAAATCCCACCAGTAAATGGCACGCTAATAAAAGTTTGTGCGCACTTACTGTTTTGAGTGATTTCTGCATAACATTACTTGAACCAAAATGTTCTAGGGATAGAGATAGTAAGTTTGAATTTTATCGAATATGTTTATATAATAAATTCACATTAACGCTAATAATATCAAACAAAACAGACAACCAAAATTTTGTTCATATTATTTATCATTGTAATATACTTTTTATTCATTTATTTTACAGCCGAAACCATCTACTTGCCACGACAGCAGTCAAGGGGTGAGTGTCAATTTAATTTTACGCTACACTGGAAAAAAAATTTTTTAATGATTTTTTTGAATTTGTTAAATTGTAATAGATTAATTTTACTTTTGAGCCTGATCTTTTTTCTTGATTACAGAGTATGAAACTCGCTTTGAGGCTAAAAAGAGTTACCTGTACAAGTATGAAACAATCGTCCTCTCGGGTTTCCCTCAGAGCGGCAAAGAATTCCAGGGTCACAAACTCAATACATTTGTCAACATCACATTCATGACGGAAGGTATCAACAAGCGAGCCTTCTTACAGGTAATGTATTATTATTAAAACAGTATGAAGCTCATGTATTCTGGGTAGGCAATGACAAAATGCAATACTGCCCTCACACAGGCAGCAGATGGATGCCATATAGGGATTTGATATGTGTAGAAAATTATCTTTCAACAAATTTTGTTTAATGATCAGATTTTAAAACTGTTTAAAAAATTTCAATATAAATTTTTAAAGAAGTTATTTTGTTGTTATGATTGTTACTTTGAAACTTACAATATTTAAATTTTAAGGCTAATTAGAAAATCTTCCAATTATGAGGGGCCCAACATTCTTTTTGAATGAGTTTTTATGATACTAATGATAATAATATTCTTTGGTACGATTCTCTAATATCTTAGTGGTTGCGATCAAACCATAAGCATATTCTTCACCTATCTATTTTGATGCGACTTAAATAATAGGAGCAGTACTTTCCTTTGCCTAGTTTTTTGAGTATGATAAGAAATTTGTTTACACCCACAGCTGGTCGAACCACAACTTCTTGAAGTTAATGGAACTGTGTTCCCCACCAACTTCACCGTCAATGAATCTAGCATGTCAGAAAACCTGAAGCTGCAGCTTACCAACAGAATTGAGTTCCACTACTCATTGGGAAATGTAAGTCAAGTACTTATTTCATTTATCATTAGGAAGTGTATGTACAGTAGTTTCCAATAACCATTGATATATGTATAAAGTCCAGTAATCATTTATTCCACTATATTTCTTTATAAAATTAATTACAGAACTTATTGCACTTCATAGGAATAATAATAGTGTAGTTTTATATAGAGTCAGTATCCATCAAACAAAATGCTCATGGCGCTTAATATGTGGACTAGGAACTCGATCAGTGACTTTCTTCGCCCCTAAAGGGTCCCTTCGTGTCTGTGTACCCGGTACCAGCAACGCTGGTACCACAGGGGCTGCCTGTCCACCACAGGGGCTGCCTGTACCAGTATCCACCTACTCGTCTCGAAAGATGTACTGGGTTCTTTATAATAGTGCACATGAGCCATTGTATACACTGGGCCTGCAGTTTATAGTCCTTATCCGAGAAGACTTGTTCTGCCACCAGAAGCATAGACGAGCGTGCTGTTGGAAGCAACGTCGATATTATGGCTGTAGGTTGCAGCGGCTCTGCTAATCGCTCGGCCATTCGACTCACCTTTAAATATACAGTATTGTACTGTACATATTCGAAAATAATTATATAGCAGCTGTAGTCAAGTGCTTTTTTCCACTAATCAATTGGGAAATAGGTACAGCATTCCAATACTTATTGGAGATACTAAAGTATTCCACTACAAATTAGTCATTGGAAAAATGTTTAAGTACATACTGTATGTACCGTTCCTCTAATTATTTGCAATGCAAATAGAATATAGTTCACAACTTAGTTGTGATACGTAATACAGTAAGTACAACACTTTGCATTCCTAATTATTTCAATGGTAAGTGTGTGGCAGATCATGAATTTTTTCCACCTGGGTGGGTTGGTGGTTGGGGGGGGGGAGGCAAGCTCCTTTATCGCCACCGATTACATCACAGATAATTCAAAGGAGGGAAGACTGTCTATCATATGCATTATAGATAAAAATGCCAGTGTTGAAGGACTGTCAGAAGATGCTTGGGTGAAAATCGCTTGGCTCAGCATTTGCGTTGCCTTGTGGGTTCTCAACCTCAACGCTTGGTGTACATTTTGCTTCTGTCCTTGGACAAGGAACTGACCTACGTTGAAACATACTGGGGACCTTACCATGCAATGCAGAGGCTTGTATTAGTACAATGGCTTCCTATACAGCTCATTCCCTACGTTCAATGAGTACAGAACTATCTTTAATCTACGGTCAGTAAACACACAGACTGGGGACCATGTTGTGATATTTGTCATGATTATCATCATCAGATCTCATTAATTGAAGTAAACAGCGTGATTATCTTGATGTCTTGTGTGCATTATGTGTAGATTCCTTGGCCTCCCAGGGTTCGCTTGGCCTTGGAGGTGTGATAATGATAGGCCCTATCTATGAAGTTATGAATTTGTTCAATATAAGGTTTTTAATAGCTGTGTAAACTGTCCTCTTGATCATTTAAAGATAACATTACAAGCACCTGTCAGATATTGGGCTAAGTTTGGGACAGTCCAACAATTATTTTCTACAAATGAACAAATTTAATTTAATCTTCTTTGCACAGATAATGAAACTGCTGACTATTCTTTTTCTTTCAAATACATTAAGTTGAACTCTAACCTCCAGCATCTGTCATCACTTAATTCCTTTCTTTATTGTGGAACTTTTACTTAGTATATTCACACTAGAATTTTTAACAATTATATCTTTTCTTGCTTTTTGCTTGTGTAAAAAATATTTTTTTTTATCAAGATTAATAAATGTTAAGAATCCTGACAAAACTCATCGTAAATTATTTCTCATATCTAAACAATCAAAGAAATTATTTTTTGTTTGCTACTCCTTTGATGTTTCACATACAATAAACAAAATGTTCTTTTTCACAAGATGGTAACTGAACAATTGTTTTTCTTTATCGCTTTTTGTTTTCCTGTTCCTAGGTGACAGAGGTCTTTGCTCCAACCAATGAGACAGAATGGACCTTGAACATCAAGAGGGGTATCTTGAACATTTTCATCCTCCGCTTGGAAGATGATGAAGATTCAACAGTCTTCTCCAGATATGAGGTACGTCAGAAGATGGTCAAAGATTAAAACTGCCATAATTTCCGTGACAGCACTGGTTTAAGGTCCGCCTTGGCAAAGGTTGTCATTGACACAGTGTCAGGCTATATCTCAGAAAGACTGCGATGAATAGTCAGTTCATCAATACTATCTTTTACTGTTATAGGAAGGAATCTCCGGTATTTGTGATACAATGTACCAAATCGAGAAGCGACGCAACATTGACGAGATTCTCATGATGAATATCACTAAGGTACGCGACTTCACTAACTGCACCTACACACCCACCAAGTTGGATACTCGGGCCGAGACCAAGACTTGCATTGCTTGCGAAGACACCAAGGTAAGGACAGTATTATCCAATTGTATGTAGTAGGCCAGGTCTTTAGGGTTGAGGTGAACAGACCCTCTGTATGTGAAAGTAACTGCACTTGCCTGGGCACCCCCTATTTTAGATATATCCACTATATGATTCATTCACTGATGCCAACCACAGTCAAAGAGAGGCATTTGCATCCATTTGGATAGATTTATTACAGTTGGGAATTATTTTTCATTTATATTTTAATACCAATATTCTTTTTCCACTTGGCAGACATCTTCCCTGAAATCAATGGCTACCTTCCACTACAACGTCACTGGTTCTCGTACCAACTTCATCATTGATTCAGTATTAGTTCACGGACTCTACGTCTTCTATCCATATTCAATTGAAGGTGGCTCAGCTAGAACTCTTGTCAAGTAAGTAAACCTAAAGCTGGTTTTACACTAGGCAAATTTATTCGCGCAAATTGAAAGTGTTGGTTTACTTCCTGAGCTCTCATTGGCTGAGCAATTTTTCGCTTGCAAAAAGTTGAAACAGTTTGAACTACTGATATCCCTAAAGCGAAAAACTTCAATACAAATGCAAAAGTGCATGCATATGAACCAATGCTTTTGATTTGGGCAAATAAATACTTTTAGCGTAAAATCGGCTTAAAGTACTATAAAACATTTTTGCTCTACAAAGCACTGTAGTAAATTTTTTCGAAATTTGAGTCTATGTCATTAGATAAAGTTTGATCAAACATTGCCTGACAGACAAAATTTCAATGATGTATTCTCATCTGTACTCCCAGCTTTACCATTATTTTGCCAACGATATGTTTCATGGGAATTAAATACAAATCAGAACATATGACAGAACCTCAACAGGGCCACTAATAACCTAGTGTTAAATAATTATTATGTAAAAGGTTTTATTTGCAGTATAAAAATGCAGTATCAGTATCTATTTATTAATGATTATTTTCTTTCGCTTTCACAGCCAGAGCCTTGTGCTCGTCAATGTCACTAAGACGACGGATGTTGTTCCAGAGATCACCATTGAAAAGAAGAGCTTTGGCGGAATCTTCCACACTTTCCCCAAGCTGATGAAATCATCATCAGCTGACATTATTCCAAAGGTAATGAATATTCATCTCCTCTATATATTCCTTCTTTTTCCTCCTTCCTTTCATTCTAATTTTCCCTCTTCATCTTTCTCCATCCTCCATATCTTCTGTTTTCTTCCTCTTTCAACTGTTGTACTTCATCGTCTTTGTTGTTTTCTATTTCATCCTCCCCTATAATTCTTCCTGTGCTATTTCTCCTCTTCTTCCACTTCTGTTAATTTCTCCTTCCCCATCCAACTTCTTTTCTTTCTTCTTAATAATCTAATCTTTTTAATTTCTAATCCCCTATTTCCTCTTTTGACTTTATCTTCCTTCTCTTTTTACTCCAATAATGTTATCTTTTTCCTCCCTTTTCCTCTTTCATCTTTATTCTCTTCATCATTTCTCTCTAATACTCCTTGTACTCTTCATCCAGTGTTTCTTCACTTTTTTCTTCTATCCCTACTTAACCCTTTTTTTTTCTAATCTTTCTCTTTATATTTTTTGGATTTCTTTTTCTCTCTTCAACTCATTTTATCTTAATATAAAGTGTAGTTGTTGTTTATTGTTTCACACTGGCAATTTACCTCTATGAGAGACTGATCTTCAATTATTAATACTTTATCAAAATGTTCTTCCGCATTATCTAGGTTGAATTCTTCCTTGAGCAACTGAAAGAGACCGTCCAGGAATCAATGGCCATCGATGCTCCTAGCCATTTCATCCACCTCGTCAATGTCCTTCGTCTTGCCGACTATGACACTCTATTCCAGATCTGGGAGAAGTACGAGTTAATTGAACAGAAGAAGTAAGTACTCTATTTACAAATATTTAATAATTTTATAAATTGGAGTGAAGCTGTTAATTTGTGGCCTCACTTTTCAACAGGGGTGGCACCTAAATCTGCCACTGATTAGCATTGATATATTAATTTTATTCTCTCTTGTAGAGAGTGGCTCCTTGAGGCTCTGCCATTGATCGGAACTGAAGAGGTCACCAAATTGATGAAGGTGAAGATCCTTGAAGAGAACATTAAGTTCAAGGAAGCTGAAAAGTTCTTGACTAAGCTCACCTTCACCAAGAAACCCACCGAGATTATGATTGACAACGTATTGGTCAGTAAATCATGATATATTATTTAATTTAATTTTAAATCAATATTAAATCGGCTAAAAAAACAAACATTAGAGATAAAGTGATTGAACATAGAAATACCAACAGAAAATCAAAATTTTAATTTAAAATTAAATCTGCTAATAAAAACAAACATTAGAAATAAAGTGATTAAACATAGAAATGCCAACAGAAATCAAAATTTGAAACCCTGTGCAAATTATAATCAAATAGAAATTGTGTGTCACTTTATGAAAATAAGGATGGATGAGCTCCTGGAGTCTACAGCCAACTATTTTTAGATTTGTATGTCTTTAGGGTTAGATTAAGTATTTCTTTCTTTTTGTACTTTTGTTTTCATGTTTATGTTAAGGTCTCAACAAATCTATAAATCAACAATTTTTATTATTATTATTATTATTATTATTATTTATTATTATTATTTATTATTATTTTAATTTTGTGGAGAGAGTAATTTGTAGCTAAATATTTCATACCATATGTTATTAGTTCATAATCAGAAATTTTTTTCGGTTTCAATTTTCAACATTCCAGGATATCTGCCGTAATGAGAAATGGAACCTCACTTACGAAATGTCCCGCACTGAAATGATGGAAATGATCCGAGCCCGCCGTGCCTGCTGGCTGACCCTCGGAAACCTTGTCGGTGAATTCTGCAACGAGAAGCGTTACTGCCCAACAAAGTATGTTGTTGCTTTCAGCCGCTGCGAGGACATCTACACCGACATCGTTGATCCAACTGAATTTGATGTTTTTGAGACTCTCAGCCAGGTAAACTTTGAAAAATTATTTATTTTGAACACCCAATGCAAAAATTAACTTCCTTTTCACACTGTATGCTTTTCAAATATTCTCAATGAACAGTGAGAGTATGATTATATTTTAAGTCCTGTCCAGACTATCAAATTTAATTTGACAAAAACATGTGACATGCCTAAATATGGTCATGATGACATCACATCATGACCATATATAGGCACATCATGACTATGATGGGCATACAACAGTTTTGTGTCAGAGAAAATTTGTGTGGAAAAAGTCTTTGCTACTTTATACTCCCTTTATTAATTAAAATCATGATTTCCTCCTCTTTTCCTTTTCAATAATTTTACTCTTCCTCATCTACGTCGTCGTCTTATTTTTCAAATCTCTCTTTCGCATTCCTTCATTCTTATTCTCCTTCTCCCCTCCTTCCTTTTATTATTTCTCTTCTTCTGTTCTCTATATTATTAAAGGCTCTAAGCACTCACAGATTTAAGACTTCATAAGTTTGTAAATAACTTCTGTGTAAATTTTTACAATAGATAATTCCTACAGAGACAATTTTTATGGGAGCTGATTTTTTAATTGACAACCCAACATGACATTTTCGCCCCTGTAATGTATGTATTTGTCATTAAAGCAAATCTTTGCACTACAAAAATTTCATGTTATAATTCAGTTTTTAATTATATTTGAAATGGCGCTATAGCTGTTCAGTCACGGGAACTTGGGTTCAAATCCTTTTGAAAGTCATAAAAAACAACAAAAAAGCTCATAACACTTATTCTGTAAATGGTGTGTCATTAGATCTTGAGTGAGAATAAATGATTAAAATACAGAATTACAATCTTTGTTTTTGAATTTTGTGAATAAAGCCTAATGTATTTTTTTGTTATTTTATGTACATAAATTTTCATATTTTTCTTATATATTTTTTCAGAAAATTATTTCCGTCAATGGTAAATTGAAGATTGACAGCACCTACGATGATGCCACTGTGAAGCGCGTCAAAGAAATCCGAGAGACAGAGGTCAAACTAATGTGCATTAACTCCATGGGAAATGCCGGTCTTCGTGATCATGTCTTTGAATTGACCAAGATTGTTGAGGACCCCAAAAACAGATTGGGAATCCGTGTTGCAGCCGTCCACGCTATGCGCAAAATTGCTCCAAAAGAGCCAAAGAAGGTAGTTGATTGCATTGGCCTTGTATTACTTTCCTCGAGGCACTGGGTTCAAATTTTTTTTTTTGGGGTGGGGGGGTGTTCAAAATGTTTCCAAAAAACCCCTAGCAAGAGGAGATCAGGTTTCTCCCCTGGGAAAATTTTTATTCCTAAATGGGGGAAATGAGCTTTCCCGATTTCTAAGTTGTCTTGCTATGACTTAATTTCTTCAGAATTCAAGGTTTTATCCCTCTTGAAAACGGTCAGGTAAACTTTCTCATTCTTATTACATTAATTGGCCTATGTGTGTCTTTTAATGACTTCAGATTTCAAGGTTAAATTTTCCCCTCTTAAAAACAATTCCATGAATCGATGAATTCCAAAGAGAGAGGAAGTCTGGGTTCTGGGGTTGTGACAGTTTACTGCTTTGCAATAATTATTAAGTATATTTTCTATTGTTGGATATATAATAACATGCACGTACATTCTGTAATTGTCTTAATACATAATTCTTTTGCTTTACATGAAATATATTTATCTGTTCAGGTTCTGTCCTCCTTACTTCCAATCATGCGAGATCCATTCTCTGATGAGGAACTCCGCATCATCTGTTACCTGGTTGCCATGGAGTGCCAGCCACGCCCAACACTCCTGGTCTCATTTGCTGAGAACCTGAAGAATGAGACCAGCAAACAGTTCCGTACGTTCGTCTCCTCCCATCTCATGAATCTTGCCAAGAGTGAAGACCCATGCAAGAAGAAATTGTAAGTGTAAGCCCAGTTGTATGCCCATATATAGTCATTTAGTGCCTATATATGGTTGTGATGTGATGTCACCCTGTGCAGACTCTCAAATTTGGTTTGAAAAATCATGTGACATACATAAATATGGTCATGATGACATCACATCATGACCATAATATAGGCACATCATGACTATATATGGGCATACAACAGCTTTTGTCAAAGTCAGGACAGAGCTTTAAAATATAATAATGTATCAAGTATTCATTTATTTTATTTATAAAAATATAAGTAGTATATTTTTACTGTGTATTTATTATGTTTTATATATTACATATAAATACTTATCTTTTAATTCACAAAATACAAGATACTTTTATTTTGCCTATGCAAATTGAGATACAAAATTGTTTTTACTTATTTAGAAGACAATCAGAATAAAAGTGAACTTTAAAAACACAAATTGAAATGTGATAGTGCCAAACATAATGTAAATATTGTTTTTTGTTTCATTTTTAGGTTACGGTAATGAAGCTTAATCTAAAATGAATTAATTGTTTAATTTTATTAGACGAAAACAATTATGAAATATATACATTTAAATTTCTTATCTTTATGTTTTCTTTATTTTTATTTTTTTACCATAGGATCAAAGCAGCTAAGTATGCCATTGAGACGACCAAGTTGTACAATGATGGACCATTCTACTCCAAAAACCGTCAAATTAGTGTATTCAATGGTAATTTTTGTCTCATTCTTTCTACTGTTGCATAAAACCCTTTCGCTAGATGTTACAGAAACATTGTTTGCTTTCATTCGTCTTCTCGGAAGTTAGGAAATTTGGTTCCATTTCCTCTTTCAAATGCAGTAGAAGTCTTCAGCTTACCTCTGGCTTGATCAAATTTTTGTTTGTACACATGGCATTATTTTGATGTATCAGGCCTGATGTGGCTGTCAATGTTGACGAGAGGCGGCCACAGACTGTTCAATTAATTAATGAGCCATGAAATATTCACCCCTAGGGCTAAAACATGGTGTGGAGCCACTTCAATGCCCGCCAACAGTGCAAGTGCGGTAACTAAGTATGGTCAGCGTGTGGTTCTAACCATCGTCAACAACTTCAGAACCTGAATAAAGATCGCTGCGCCAAACCGCCCTTCCCGTGTTATTGTACTGAAATAATTTTTTTTAAATTTTTTATATTTATGTAGCACTAAAATAAATATAAAACATAGATGTAATAACAATAATTATCATCGTTCTCATTTTTAAAAGCATTGTTTAGCACATACAGGCTATTGGCTATGTGGATAAATGAATTGGTTTATTAATCAGTGTGATTGATTGATTGATTAACTGATTAATTGATTGATTAACTGTTTCAGTAAGGCCCAATTAACCTATTTCATTAATGCATCATATTTCGACAGTTATTACTTCTTAAAATTAATTATGCTCCCTTGAAAAAATTGCAGTGATACAATAATTATTCAATATATTTATTTTTATCAGATGATTTCCAAGCTGGTGGTACCATAGAGATGAACACAATTTTCACCCCTGGCAACTTGCTCCCACGCTCAGCCAACACCAAGCTTAACCTCAACATCCTTGGAAAGTCATTAGATGTTTTTGAAGTAAGAATTCCTTGAAAAAAATAAAAACTGTATAGAATAAAATCTTGGTAAAAAAAATTAAACTTTGATTAAATAAGTTATCAACAAACTTAAAACACATATTAGACTTACTATGAAATCCTAATATTCATCTTTTATAAATAAGATTTTTTTTATATAATATTTTTCAACTAAAATGTAAATAATTGTTAATAATTATTTATATTAAGTTTATTTAGCTCTAGACAGACATTATGCTACATATTATATATCATAAATTTGTTAAAGATATTATAAATAATTATGAAGTTGGAACTGTATTAGTTAGTAACATGAAATATAAATAGATGAAGTGCAGTAGTACCTTCTTTTCACTAACAAAATTTATTGAGAGACAATTGAGTGTGTCAATAAATTGTGTTAGTAAAAAGTTGCTACTGCAGTACTTATCTTTTGTATAAATTGTCATTGTTTATCAGCCTTCATTACAAGAATGTAATATGTTACATAAGAAAATTAATTTGACCTTTTCAATAATAACAGAACCATATAAAGTACATAAAAAGTAATTTGTGAATATTTTTTCTCATTAAAAAAGAAAAAAATTACCTGAAAGATAATACTACATGATTTTGAGAGTCTAAAATTGTTTAAAACTTTTTTTCAGTTTGGCTACCGTGCAGAGGGACTCACCAATGTTCTGGAGAAGATGTTTGCACCAGAAGGATTCTGGTACAAGAGGACCAACCTCATGAACTTCTTGAAGAGATCCACCCGCAGCATCACTGGAGAATCTCTAGAGGAAATGATTAAACAAAAGGTAAAGTTTACGTTAGACGTCATCAGTAACACTTTCCAGAGAAAATCTTAAGCGAGATCCGTTCTGGTGAATCTACTGATCTCAGCCAGTAAAGAATAGAGAGTTTAGAATGTTTACATTTGCAGACAGATTAAGGATGAATTGGGTTAAAAATTAGTTTTGCTAATGACTAACAACCCTTCTGGTTACTTCCTTCTAGCTTAACCTGATCCGATCTTATCTCTAGGTAAAACCATTCACCAGTGAGCCAGAACCGTCCCAGGGATACACCTGGTTCAAGATCTTTGGACAGGAAATGAGCTATGAAGCATTCAACAAGGAGTTCTTCAAATCCATCTTGACCGAGGGTAAGATCAGAACTAACTTCAAGGATCTTGAGACCCAACTGCGTGAACCACAGACCTTCAACTGGAACAAGGGTAAGAAGCGTAGAATTTCTTTGAAATATAACTGTCAAAGTTGTTGTTACAAAAAATTAGCTTAAAGAAAGCAGCTTAACTCACTCGACTAAACTGGTGGATATCACTGCGTGTGCACTCTAACCATGGACATTTGTTCCAGATCTTTAATTCCTGGTTAAATTCCATTGCTTCTCGTCTTATAATGTTAATACTGGAATGCTGAAATGCAAGTGTGCAGTAGTGCACTGTCTGTCAAATGATACTTTTAAATTTGCTGATTCTATGTAAATTATGGCAGACGTGCACATTTGATAAAAAAAAAGTACATTCTTAGGAAAATTGCTGTGGACTGTCTCTCAATGTACTGCCAAATTAACACAAGAAAGACTCTATGGGTTTTTTCATGGTGTGCTTCACAAAAAAAAATCCAAATTAGATTTTTTGGTTCATTGTAACTTAATTTGATTTAAACCAGGAATGCTTCTGCTTGACTACCAACGACAAGTACCTACAATCTGCGGTATGCCACTGTCTCTCAACATCACCATGGCATCCATCGTAACCCTTGAGGGTGAGGTCATGATGAGGGTGACACCATTCATGCTCAGCAAGAACCCAACTGACATCGCCAGCAACATCAAAATCAAGCCAAGGTTTGTATAAAAAATCTTTAAATGATGTGAATAAATAAACCAGAATAATTCTTAATCCAGATGGTGTAGTATGCAAGAATAAAAGAAACTGCAAGTAAAGAAATACATGCTAATCGTGCTGGGATAATTCGCAGTATATAAATGTCCATTAATTACTATATGATTCTTTACTAAACCTGCAGGGCATAACTACAGGTTTGCAGAAGATGGTACATGCCTGGGCCACCGAACTGAAGGGGGTTAAAAAAAGACTGTACAAAAGTTTTACCAGTCTTAGAGTTTCTAAATTCCGAAGATCAATTAACAACCACCATAACATGAGCTTAGAACAAAGAACCCCCGAGCTGGAGAGGGCGCCATTTCCAATCTTGCTCTGGGTGCCAAAAACGCTTGTTACATCCTCGTAAACATGTGTCTGACAACTTGACAAGATACTCCATTATAAGTTTGAAATGACACATACAGTATATATACATTATTAATATAAGGTTTATTTCGTAAATACATACCTGATTGAACAGATATATGCTTTTATAGGAACATAATAACGGAAACACAGACATGTGACGCTTTTTTTGATGTGTGCTCTTTAAGACATATACGAATATACGATTTGTCATCAATTTGTTATCTCTTCTTTTGCAGAATGGCCTTGAATGTAGTCAGCAAGATGGGAATTGACTGTACCCTTATCAAGACAGGTGTTGCAATGAACACCACCATGAACTTCACCCTGCCCGTCGAGTCTGAGGTTGTCTACAGCTTTGGACAGAAGAAGCTCCGACTTGATATTGAGAACCAGAAGAATGACTACTTCAATGTCTTCAGCCTTAAGTAAGATTGAGAATTAAGCAATTGAACTTAACATTTTTGGAGACCAGTAGGAGTAAATGTTAACTGTTTGAATGGTTATTACAGTAATGTGTTTTGCAGACTGACTGGCTCACTGAATGACTGATTTTAATAAAAAGTTTTAAATTATAAATTTTTTTCAATTTTTGACTTGTTTATATATTTTACTTTGTTCTCCAGTCACACATTGTACACATTCACCAGCAAAATGGATTGCCCATGTGACAACTTTACCATCATCAATGGATCCTTCACCAACAACATCACAAATGTAAGTTTCTCAGACTAAAGAGGTATAAAAATTGCTTTATTTCATCCTTGAAATTGATATTCTCTACTTGCAATATATACATCAAAGTGTTAAACCAGTTAAAATAGTATTAAATTCGAAATAATAAAACTGTTAAAATTATTTAAAGTCATAAGTGATGTCATGAAAGTCAAAAGTCAAAGGTGAATATCAACAATTTAAACTTATCATTATATATTACAATTTTAATATTTTTTTTTATAGACATCCTCATGCTTCCAAGCATTCAACGGCAGTACTCAGTTATGCTCGAATATGACCTACGTGCCACGCCTGGGTGTCCGCAAGGCTCCATTCCGCCCATTGGTCGGATCATCATCTTGGAATATCTACGCCATGCGTGGTGTGAACAGCTCTGAACGCATCATCTTTGAGTACAGCACACCAACCACCACAACCAACATAACCGTACGTCTCTTAATTTCAAATGTCGTGCTTCAACAACCACCTATTAAAATATCAATTATTGCATTGCATGTTATTGTATAATTATCAGTGCTTCTAAGTAAAATAACATATGGCAAGTAGATATAGGATTCCTCCTACCCCCCCCCCCCCACTAAATATAATAAATATTGAAAATTTATTACGTTAATAATATAAGATATATTTTACTTTTGGTTGATAATTTCAGAACCGTTTATTGACTGTACGTACTTTTGGAGGATATTCACCAGAAACTCTATTTACTTTGAACTTCACCCTCGACAAACCTGAGGAAAAATTCAACCTGACCATCAGACGCTCTGACGTTCCTGATTGGTTCTGCAACATCACATGCAAGGTTATGGCTATAAACAGGTCAGAGGTCAGTAAGCCTATTTTTCTATAATTTTTTGGAAAGTCAGTTAATTTTCACAAGGAATTTGATTAACTTTGAACATTAAATATAAAATAAGAAAAAAGCCATAAAATATTGAACATTATAAAACATAACTTACAAAAATGGAATACATTTGACTTCATTCAGTGTTGTTTGTATATGTATACACCTGCATAATGTATTAACATAAAGTATACTGTTTATTGTTTACAACTCTTAAGGTAGTTATGTCTTAAGTTGTGTGAGTTGAACTAATCATAGCACTCTATTTTTTCCATCAGGTTAACTTCACAATGGAATGGGGTCTGCCCAAGAATTATTCTTACAACATCACCGACGGAAAGATCTTGTACCCTACCCGTGAATTCTTTGTCATGGTAAACAGCGTTCGCAACATAACCTTCAGGAACAGAACATTCGAGATCACCTGGGCTGAAGTTCCACAGTGGCTACAGAACGTAATATTGACTTCCTTTTAAATACTTGTCAATTGAGGGTGCTGTTGCTTTCCATGTATATTTTTGCTTAATATAGAAATATGTATTACTTTCACATCCCCCACCCCACTGTCAATTATTCCGCTGCCCCGCTGTCAAAATTCCCCTCCTACCATGCATAAAATAAGTCAATGTGGAAGCAGTTTTTAATATAAATTTAGTTTTCATTGATCAATTTTATGAATTGTATTTATCGGTGATTTCATCAAAGATACTAGAAATACAAGATAGAGCACTCGCATAGCAAAAGTGATGCAGATATACGTCACATCTTTTACGCAAATCCAGTCGTAAGCGGCGCATTTAAGTTTTAAATATAGCAAATTTACACACATTTATCCAGTTCACATCCAGACGTACAGGGTGCCCTTCTGTTGCTAAGTAAGTCCAGGCATACGCGGCGCACTTCTCTTTCCACTCATGATGGAAACTTTATCGCTAATCAGAGTCCAGTCATACGATTCTGCCATTCGTGTCTGTTATTTTATGCTTTTTATTTATTTATGCCTACTTGTTTGTATCTTATGGGTGGCAACAAATTTCTACCATCGCCAAACGGGCCACCAAAAGAGGTTATTTATTCACCGTGATGCAAGTTTGGCAGAAGATTTTTAGATCCAGCCCTATGTGGTGCCCCATTGTTTGTATTCCCACCATGCATTTCGGTGGAACATTTTTTTTCAACGCTATCTTGTGTTTCTACTACATGTATCTTTGATTTCATGTTTTTTTTTTTAGTTTACTAGTGATGTACGAATGAAGCTTCCAGTGATATTGAACAACATGTGGCTGATTGAAGACCTGGACATCACTCGCATCCCTAAACTGTCCACTAGTAACCACACCATTAACATTACTCTGCAAGTAAGTAAAAATCATCATTATCATCATCATCATCATCATCAATAATAATAAAATAATAAAACCACTGGTTGGTTGTCTCGATGTTTTGATGAGATTGCTCAGGCATTTATCACAAGAATGAGAAAAGATGAGTTCTCTTCGCTTTTTGTGTTCATTGTTTTATATAAAAACAAAGAATGTGTGAAGGGTGCTTGATCTGTCACTGTTTAACATAAAACCATACCCCAGAGAAAGTAAAACTAATAAAAATTGCTTAATATTGACTGAATGTTGTGAGAGAGCAACTAGCTCAAGAGAGAGCAGCTAGCTCAGTCAGCTAATCTGGTGGTAGCCGCTGTGTGTGTGCTGAACCGTGGAGATCTCTATTTCCCCGGTTCAATTCCCATCGCTGCCTCTCCTTGTGTTTCAGCTAGAGGGCTGAAATACAATAGCGCACCGTCTTTCGGATGAGACGTTTAAGCCGCTGGTCCCGTGTGCATTATGGCCCATGTGCACGTTAAAGAACGCAGTCTCTTCGGAAAAGAGTAGGGGATTGCCTCCCGGTGTACTGCCTAATCACCACCAGAAGGACCCCACTGGAAATAAGTCTTCTTCTAGACTTTCGTGGGCTATCCTTGGTGTTTGCACCGAATAAATCCAATCCAATCCAATGTTGTACTTATTTTTCTGAAGGCTAAGAAAGAACGCACTATTGACATCATTATGGACCTTCCACTCCAACGCGTCCAGATCTTCAACATGACACTGCCAACCAGGAGCGACATCATTCAGAAGAGAGTGCCATTAGTCCTGAAGCAATTCAAGAGAGAAGTCACAGACAAATTCTTCCGCCGTAAGTAGCTGCTATTAAGATTAATGTTTAATTATATATATATATATATACATATATGTATATATATGTATACCTGATGATGACCTATGGTCGAAAGTACTAGTACAATAAATATTTTATTTTTGAGACAGATACAGAACTTTGTTTGACTTCTTA